AGCTCTCATTTAATTTAGGTACAATACAGTTGATTACACCTTGATATCAGACCCATATCACTTTCACTGGAGTCACATGATGAAGAGAAGTTTCAGATGTTCTCAAACTCTTTGTTCATTCACAAGAATCTTTTTTTCCTCTCACAGAGGGCTAGTATGGTAAGCTGCAATGATGGCACCCAATCTTCACCCCTTTCTATATCCACATCTTCTTTTCTCACTTAACTTTGTAATGCCCTCCCACTGAAAGTGAGGTGACCTACAGTAGTATTTGTCACTCAACGGTGTGACTTGCTTTGGCCAATGGGATGTTAACAGACATTACACAAGCAATGACTTAAATGGCTTGTGCATTAGGGCTTGTTATTGTGTATACTTCTGCCAGCATGAGAAAGATAAGCCCATGGTAGACCAGTGGTTCCTGGAGTAGGAGGCTGAGAGACACTTGGAACAGAGCTGAGTTGCCCCAGTGGCCCGTACACTATATTAGCCCAGATTAGCTAATGGCCAGCTAACCCACAGATACAAAAGCAAGAACAGCTGAGATCAACTGAGCCCAGGTGAGATCAGCTCATCTCCAGTCTCATGAGCTAATAATAAATGGCTGCTATTTTAAGCTAGTGCATTTTAGGTGATTTTTTTTTACATGGCAATAGCTAAATGATATAAGCTAGTATCTAGATTTTACTGGTTTAACTCTGATTTCCCTTTAAGACACTTACAAATTTAGGAGTGGGAAAGAGCACTTTATTTTCCTTCTATTTGCATACTCTGTGTACTCCTCAACCCATCGCATTTTGGCTTCCTTTCTACTAAGCTTTCAAGATCTTTCAGTGCTATTTGACACTGTTAATCTCTATATGCTTCTCATTTTTCTTTTCTCTTAGTTTGATATTTTTCTCTGCCTCTACTCATTGTGTGTGTGTGTGTGTGTGTGTGTGCTCTTTTATGATTCTTATTCCTTAATTTTCTAGAGTTATTTTCTTATTCATTTTACTCAGTTAATTATGAAACATCTATACAAGTTATCCTGCTAGCCTCATCCTTTTAATTATCACTGCTAAAAACACTATAACCTGGGACATGTCCAGTATATTTGTAATCACATTAAATGTACATGGACTGAATTACCTTCCCATTAAAATAAGGAAATGATTAAATTCAACAAAAAATTTTCTTAAGATATTTTCAATAAATTGGAAATTATTAGCATCTTCAGAGCACAGTCTCTTATTACAAATGGAGTAAAATTAAACACCAATGATGAAAATATAAATTAAAGAAACCAATGTATTTGGAAAATAAAAACAATGTCTCCTACATAAAGAAAAAGAAAAGTCATAGTAGAAAGTATGAAACATCTTCAAGTGAACAATAATAAAAACACTATTAATTATAATTATTATATAACTGTAGAAATCATGGCTTTGGAATTGATGCAGGTGTAGACAATAGAAAAGAGACCTCAGAAACAGATCTATGCTGATATGGACACTAAATACATGAGAGAAATGTCATTGCTGAACTGTGGGGAAAGATGGACCAGTCAATAAATGGTACCAGAAAGTTGTTTTTCCATTTGAAAAAAAATGGTTCAATTGATCTGTATTTCATATGATACACAATAATTCCAGGACCTAAATGTTAAAAGCAGAACTTTGACATCTTTAAAAGAAACATAGAGGATATATTTATGATATTTTGTATACCTTTGTGCTATTTATTATAACTCTTTTTGAGTTCTGTATTTTCTAAACTATTCATAAATAGAAAATATAAAAAATTTCTATAACTCAATAAGAAAAAGACAATCTAAAAGGAAATTGAGCAAATCACATGAATAGACAATCCATACAAGAGAAAACTAGAGTATTTAATAAACCAACATATGAAAATATGTTAAATTTCACTGGTTTAATAGAAAAATCCAAGTGGCAGCACTATAAACCATTTCAAACCAATCACAATGGCTAAAATGAAACAGTCTGTCTACACCAAGTTGTAGAGAAAGAGAAAGTTCATACTCTACTAGTGGAGATATAAATGTGCACACCTCTTAGGATTTCAATTTGACAGTATCTCCTTATTCACTGTAATGTACACTCCTCTTACAATTTCAGTTTGGCAATATGTTGTTATTGATTGCACATATAATAAATTTTAGTAACCCCACTTGTCAGTACTCTGAAGCAGTGGTGGGTATACCACGATCCATGGGCCAAATCCTGTTGGCTGCTTTTTCTTGTAAACAAAGATTTATTGGAATATAGCCACTCTGACTCATTTAAATGATGCCTGTGGGGGCTTTCACACTACAACAGCAGAGCTGAGTAGTTGTGATACCGACCACATGGCCCTCAAAGTCTAAAACACTAAGTGGCCCCTGATGGAAAATGTTTGCCGACCTCTGGTCTAGGGTAACTCTCATACTTTTGTCCTAAAAGCACTGTGTAATAGTGTTCATAGCAGTATTGCTAGCAATAGTGACAAGGAAAAAAAATATTTAAAAGCATGGAAAAAGGAGGCATACTGTAAAATATTCTTAGGAGGTAATGCTAGGTATCAATGAAAATGAAGCAAAGGACTAGATGTATTGCTATGAATAAATCTCAACAACGTAACTGAAAAAAGTGGTTTCAGAAAAGTATACACAGTATGACCTCATTTATATAAATGTTAAAAATGTGACACAGAAGACATATATTTATATAGTAAATATGTAAGCCTATCTGTGGGAATGAGAAATACTGAATTCAAGATGGCTGTTTCCTCACAGAGCAGGAGAATGTGCTTGAGGAGGGACACACAGGAGAGCAAACGCGTGAATTATGTTTATGCTTCTTGTTGGTGATGGCTACCATGTATCTGCAGCGTTCTTTTTACTCTCTTACGTGTCTGAAGACAGAAATAAGACAATGCACAAATGAAAGCCATGGTGCCTTTTCTGAAGACCTGTTGGCTAGTTGGGAGGCAGAAGAAGAAAAGTGTAATTTCAGCATATGACTTTGTAGTAATGAAAAGCTTTACGAGTAACAAAGATACACAGACAGCTGACTGCATATCTCCCAACTGTTGAGGAGACCGGAAGCATGCTTATCAGTAAAGTTCTTGCCTCAGGCAGGTGGGAACTTGCTTTATTTGAGGAATGGAACGGATGGGGACTGTTTAAATTGTTCAGAGCGTAACATGAATGTACCTGGTTGCAGGGATGGGGGGAAAGGCACAGATTGCCTTGGATAGGTTGGCCAAGCCCTCTCTAGGGACATTGTGGATGCTTAAAAACAGTGTTCCTGAAAACACTTTTTAAAAAGAGCTCACCTAAAACTTACGGTTTATAAACGTTGAGTATCTCCTACATGGTGGGTGTGTAGGAAATGCTTGTTAGAGCAATAGCTTCGGAAACAGATAAAAGATCCCATAATTTTGCAGAAATGAAAAAATAGAATTTGAAGTTCTATAAAAAGTTGTAAAATGTATTTAGTTTGCCTGGACAGGTAAATGTCCTATGTGTTCACATCAGACCTGGATTTGAGGGAACCACCGGTTGGAAAGAAACACTAGCATACAAATTTATCAAGATAGCAAACATGCATCTCTTAATCTAGTTTTTTAAAAAATTGAGTTGCATTTATATAGAATTAAACTTAAAAAATGACTAAACCACAGAGAATGAGAGTGGGTTAGATTATGAAATTTTCTCCTGCTATTCACTTCCTGACTTAAGCCATCACCTGTGACTGATGCTTATTGTCGTCATCCATTCAATTTTTGAGGGATTACTGGGATCCATTTACTTGAGTAAGGTTTGTACACGTGACCTGATATTTTCATAAGTACGTGGGCTTTATAATGTCCTTTTATACACACACAATTTTAGTTGAGTGAAATTGTCAATTGCTGAGGTGTTTATTTTCAAACGTAATGACTGGGACTTTGTGCTCAAAGGACAGTTTCTGAATTTTCAATCTCAGGTGTGTCACTGATTTTAGTTATTTATCATGGAAGTGTTTGCACACACATACATTGACCAAAAAATTCAACATTCAGTAGGCTGTCAGTATTCATCAAAATTGTGAATCATGTATCTCATCTAAAACGTATATATTCTCTTATCTTAAGACAGAGGGTGAAAAAAAAGAGAGGAAGGGGGATGAGTAAGAGAGGATGAGAAAGAGAGATTGATGAAACTAACTTCAAGTATTGGAGGATGATAATAGGGAAATTGATCACTAGCTGGTCTATATGACTATTTAAAAGTGCCCTTAACCTGAGAGAGTTTATTTGCAAAATACTCATATTTTAAGTATTCTAATACCTTGTCAAACTATTTTATTACAACACATTTTATAAAAAAGCTTTATTGAAATTATCATTCCCTAATACATACTTTTTAACAATATGATACCTCACCATTGTTTTCAGATTTAAAAAGAAATAAGATATTTTATAGCTTCTTTGGCAACGGATGATGACTCATGTAGATCTGATAGTGTGTTTAATTAATAGTTGTTGTTGGTGAGAATCAGGTTCCTTGCTTATTCTTTCTTGAGATGAATGCCTTAGGACAATCCACCCAGACACTGCCCAAGCATGCCCCCTCTCCAAGTAGTTCTAAACTATAGGATCTATAGGATGCAGCCGTCTGTAAAGCACTTTGACTAAGACCTTATGCCACTGAATGAGTCCAGATTAAGTAACTTTATTATTTTCTTTTCATATTAATATGTGACTAATTCTATAAGTACGTATGCTTTACCCCATTGTAAGTGGCAATGTTTATTTGTAAGATGAAGGAATAATCTTTCAAAATTCACTCATCTTGAAATGGCTTTCTCAAACTATTTATATTAAATATTTTAAACTATTTTAAACTACTTACATTATAATTGAAAATTATATTACAATTTTAAACTATATTATACTATTTAAATTATAATTTTAAACTATATCATAATTTTAAGCATTTATTATTTTCAAAAGAATTCTATTTTATATTTCAGGAATATACAATAGATGTTTTCTTTCGACAAAAATGGAAAGATGAACGGTTAAAATTTAAAGGTCCTATGAACATCCTTCGACTTAACAATTTAATGGCCAGCAAAATCTGGACTCCAGATACCTTCTTCCACAATGGGAAAAAATCGGTAGCTCATAATATGACAATGCCAAATAAGCTTCTTCGAATCCAGGATGATGGGACTCTGCTGTACACAATGAGGTATGTTTTTAGGTTTGATATGTTAAATACTGAGGAATCTATGTTGTAACCAACCAGCCCTCCTGCTTGTCAACATTTTCATAACGAATTATTGAGGTACATATAGTATGCTTTGTACATGCTTGTGTATCAAAAAAATAAAAATAGAAAATAGTACTTATGAGGAGTTTGAGTCTCATCTTAGTGTGTTAAAACCTAAAAATTGCCTTAACTATTAAGAATTGATTTTTTTGGCAATTTACTTTTCATACTACATTTTAATTAAGTATAATTTTAATATGACAAAATTTTCTTTATACCAGTATATAACTTTATTTTTAATATCTCATCAAATATTCCACCACATTTAATAACTTTAAGCAAGTTTTACTTAATTTAATATTTTGATCGGCCTTATAAAGTCACTCTAGAGGAAAAAAAACTTGTGAAATGCAGGGATGTAGTTTTTGTTTAATATTGGTTGCAAGTAAATTGGTACCATAAGCATATGTATTAGATTGAACCATATGAAATTGCCATTTTGTAAGTCAAAAAGTGCCGTGTAACATCAAGTTCATATGATTCAACCCTAAAACACTCATCCAAAGAAATACACAGTTGCTGACTCTAACAGCTAGTCCATTTTAACTTTTCTCATGAATTAATCTTTTAAAATAAATTACTTATAGTATGTTACAAAGAAAACAATCACAAATCTAATAAAATAATATATAATCTAAAATGTAAGTGTTTGATAAAGGCTCTAAAGCATAGGTAACGTTTGTCAGCATTATACGTAGACAGATTTGTATTCCAGGCATTTAATGTGTTATTATTTCATATGAAATATTAAATTGTGGGTTCCAGCTATGAAAGTTATTTAAGAAGGGGTAATAATATAGTCCTGATCTTTAAAGAAAACAGTCTTGAAGACTCATTGCTAAGTGACCATTGCCCAAAATGGGAGTGTTAGCTATTCTTTCTGCCTCACTCTCTCTGAATATTGCAATCCAGATGCAGCACCCTCATTAACTTTACATGTTGATCATTCCTGTGGATTGACAATGATTGGAAATTTGGGGTTGAAACAAAATGTAGGCTGAGAACACACAGAGTTTGGAAAAATATTGCATTGGATTCTTCTTAAAATACTCTCTTAGAAGTACATAAGCTATAATTAAATGGTTTGTCACATTTGTTTTCCTCACCATAAAAGATTCTTCTGTAAATTCAACTTAATACCTACTTTATCTACGTTACCTCTGTGTAAAAATGGAATAATTAATAACTTTATAAAAAATTTGCTATGGTTACTCTTAATATTCATAACTTGTGTCTATAATTTGACCAGTAGTCTAGTCTCAACAAGATATTTATAGGAGATAAATTTATACACATATCTATGTCTGTATTTATATTTATATATATGTATCTCTATACAGTATATGATACTCATTCAAAATTTATGTATTTTTGAAGGGGCCTCCTCTGAGCCAGTATTGAATTCTTGTATCAGTTTTGCTATATGGTTGTTGATGGGATGTTGGGGGGAAATAAAATTCTTTTTATGATGTAGATTGTTTTCATTGAGATTTCTATCAAATGTTAATATTGAAGTTAATAGGAAAATAACCTTCAAAAGCACGTATATAACTTCTTGACTAACCACAGAGTACAAAATGCTTAAGTATATTTTTAAATAAGCATTGTTACTTGAGCTCAGATTTTGTAGATGCTAATGCCTTCCGAAGGATCACCTAAATGTGAAAGAACAAAAGCATATTTAAATGTGAATTAGCCTAATATGATGCTATAATGAAGGTCCTATCACATCATTAATTCTGTTGACAACAATAAGGAGTGATTTATCTTGACTTGCCAATTTCCCTAAACAAAGAGTGGAATTTTGACTTCTAGGCTTACGGTTCAAGCTGAATGCCCAATGCACTTGGAGGATTTTCCAATGGATGCTCACTCATGTCCTCTGAAATTTGGCAGCTGTAAGTATGGGGATGAAGGTACATGTTTTGGGTCAATAAAATCAGGGCTAGTCAGCAGCACTACTCAATTATATAGTTTCTTCTCATATGATGGGATGCTTAATACTTGTCCAATAAGATGCAGAAATAAAAGAAATACTGTTCATAGCCCTGTTGTACTCTCAAATATCATTATATTTTAATTATTGTTTTTAGTTACTGATAATAAAGAACAACCTGTTTTTATACATGTGAAAAGTAGACTGGGAGCTCCTTGAAGGTCAGGACTATGTCATTTACCTTTTTTCTTTTCAAGTACTAGCACATTAAAAATGCAAAATAAATAAATTTTTTTCCAACTAAGAATGAAATGTAGGGGGTGGGGAGGGATCAATTAGGAGTTTGGGATTAGCAGATACAAACAACTATAAATAAAATAGATAAACAACAAGGACCTACTGTATAGCACAGGGAACTATATTCAATACCTTATAATGGCCTATAGTGAAAGAGAATATGAAAAGGAATATATTATATATATTTATAAATGAATCACTATGCTGTACACTGGAAATTAACACATTATAAATCGATTATCCTTCAATAAAAAATCTAAAAAAATTAAGCATGGTGAGAAATATGCAAAGAATAATTATTTGATGTGCTGGAGGTATTGGCTAACACTATGGTCGTAATCATTTTGCAATATATGAGTGCATCAAATCCACACATGGTACACCTTAAACTTACACAATGTTATATGTCAATTATATCTTAATAAAGCTAGATTTAAAAAGAACGATTGAAGAGCCTATGGACAGCTATCAAACTAAATTAGACTATCTCTGCCGCTGCTCATCTGAAATAAAATCTGTTTTAAACAAGCAAACAAAAGAAGAATGAAATGTAAAGGATAGATTCCATTGTTTACTAAAGTAGCGATCATCCTGTTGCAAATGCCAGGCACAGAAACTGGGTCTCTGTTTTCTTTCTACTTTCTAACTAAATGGAAGGAATTTTTTTTCTAAAATAAATTTGAAGGAGATGACGTAGGTGGATTGCTACACCTGGGCACTTTCTGTGTACAATAAAGTATTTCAGAAAAAGCTCTGTGCATTTGGCAACCTCTGTAGGTCACTGAGGTTGGACCTTATATGTCAAGCAGAAGCATTCGCTCTCCCACAATAATTGAGAAGAGGGAAGGTCAAAGCATCTCCCTAGGCCCACATGGCATTCAGGGCAGGTTCAGGATAAATTCACAGGCACAGCTAAGCAGCCTCTCTCTTTTGTGAGGGTGTCCAATAGCCTGACATTTCAGAAACCCAGCTCTTTTTAGCACCCCTATCTTTGTCCATTCTGGGCAGCTTTTCACTTTTCATTCTCTTGAATAGAAATGCAGTTCTCTCACCTGATTAAAAATATGTATAACTGGATGTGTGCCTTCTGCATCATGTGAAAGAAGAGGGAGGAATGATGGCTAATTTGAATGCAGAGCCTTCTATTTATTTTGATGACCATAGTTTTGTGGAATGAGAAGTTCAGTCTTGTTTGTTCTGTTCATTCTTACAAAAGGTATCAGCTCTCAGTTTTCTTTGAGACTCTTCCCTTTGTTTAACTACAAAGCCGTCTTTTATTGTCATGGAAACTATCACTTCAATACTGACATTTCTTCGAAAATTATTTAAGATAGTCAATCATGTTATAAAAAGTAAACATGAGGCTGGAAAAACTCCAGCAGATGCAGCAGAGAAAAAACTCATTTGCATTGCATAAATGGTATTAAATAGGAAACTGAAAAGCCTTGGTAACAAAGGAAGGACTTATTCAAGATGCAGTAATGGTCTAAGAAGGAAAGGCATTTTTCGGTGCACAAGTTAGCGCCATTAAGAAACCAGATATAAACGATGTGATGTCTCAATTCTAAATATGAAATAAATACACCTAAAATATTTAAATACAATTTAAAATCCCTTACTAAAGTGCCTCTTCAGAGCAGTGTAATATTGTACCTCTGAAAATACTGTCTTCTGTATCTAGAAGTGATACAGGCAACAAAGTTTCTTAGCCATTTTTTGTTGAAGTAATTGGTTTTATTTAGTTTTCTCCATGTTTACTTTCTGACACATTGGGTAAATCATTTGTTTATGCTTTTATTTTTCCTTGCCAATAATAGGTACTTGATATATAAATGTTGAAAGTATAGACAAGAAGCCAACCCAAAACTTTAAATGTTGGCCAAACAAATTTTGGCAAAAGCAGCCGTGACTTTTTCTTCTAGTCATTTATTCCTCTCTTGCTCAAAAAACTCCCTTGTCTCCCCACAAATAATGGGATTTCTGGAACATTATCATTTTTCTCAAATAAAAAAGCATCTTTTCTACTAATTTACAAGTTTGAATTCAGTTTTGTATTGCTTTATTCCTGTTGCCTCATATCTTTATATAATTCTTCACTGTTTAATTTGATTTTAAACTTCCTGAATGGAAATCTAAAAGTATTCTGGGCATTATCCCAAAAGAAATTGTAAATTTTCTTTTTGGATAAAAATTAATAATTAAAAATGATTTGGGGATTTTTTTTGGTTATCAAATATGAAGAAACAATATGCATTTGTTTAATGCAGATTAGGACTCAAAATGGGTTATTTGGCAAAATTAAATTATTTAATGAAAATCTAATATAGATGTGGAATTTATAATGAAATTAATTTTTCTCCCCTTTTATTCTTTACTGAAAACATTGCAGTGGTCTCCTAATTTATATATGTGTTGATGGACCAGGAAGTGCCTTTGATCTGCATTGTATAACTTTCTACTATCTCTTCTCTCATCAGACTCCAAATCTAAAAAAAAATTCCTGTCTAGCAAATGAAATAATTGCTTTTTTATGAAAAACATGGGAAGGAGCAATTACTTTCTTTAACATATTCTTGGGGTCCTATCCTAGTTTCCATCCTCCATAGCAGTACATGGCAGAATTAAAATATATTAAAATGTAAGTTTATTGATTTAGCAAGAGTGATCTAAGAAAGTTTTCTTTGTGACCGGCATTGTGCCGGGTGTGAGAAGTATCGACATGAGTCCCTGCCCATCAATCTCTTACGAGTTTCTTAAAAAAGACACCACATTTGTAGAGTGTCATTTTCCCTTTTTAGGTTTAAAGGTAAACATCAAAATTCAAAAGTGGAATCATTATGTTTACTTTAAACAAAACCTAATAATTTATTAGGATTTATCACTTATTACTGACTATCATGGGGCCTTCTGATACAAAGTGGTGCATGTGACGTCTTTGTGATGTATTCAATTCTGTGTCATTTGAAATTTTACTGAAGAGAAGGCCATGATACGTACTTATGGAGAAAACAAGTCACTTGATGATCTGCAAATGGATTGCTTGTCATACACATGACTAATGTTATTTATTCACAACAGCAGAACCATCAGCGGTTAACTCATTTAAATTAATTCATAAAAACTTAGACCTTAGGGCAACTGGAATTCATTCATATGCAAGTTATATGAATATATCTACTATTAAAATATATAATATATACACATATTCATACATATAATGACATACGTACATATATATGTATCTAGCATCCTATTTCAAAAATTATTTCATGTAATACAGTTTACTTGTGGATGTAGGTGAATACATGTATTTCACTGATATTAACATCTAGTAGTGATATCCAGAAAACCAGGCAACATTGTAGTATGCCATTAAAAGACCACACAGTGAATAAGACACAAGCACATAGAAGTTCACTTTATTGTTATTAATGCTTAAGTGCAAATAGATTTGTGATCACAGACTTTGGATAAAGGAAAGTACCAGAACCATCCCAGAACAATCATATTAATCTAGAAAATTTACAGAAAGCAGGTGAATGAGCTTCCCAACATCCTATAGAGCTAGAGGTAGAGATATTGCCAGAGACAGCTGGTTCTTTCTTTCCCTCAATTGAAAATGTGGCTGTGATGCTGAGTTTTGCTCCAGGACCAGGAATAACTAGTATTTCTAAGCATTCCCATGAGCAAAAGTGCACAGAAAGTCTTCAAAATGTCATTAGTATAGCAGCAATTGTCTGTTTATTCAACTGTGGAGAGACTCTGCCTGTGTGGAGAGGTCAGCTGTTCCCCCTCAGGACACACAGGCGCAAGGGAAATGCCAGGGCCAGAGAAGTGCTGAGACGGACATGCTGCCCGCTCTCCAGCTCCAGAGTCATCTCGATGCTGCTAAGTTCTGCATCCTTGGCCAAATAAATCAGAACGTTATACCTGTTCTGTACGTGTTTCGTCTCCTCCTGCCAATCCATAGCTTAATTAGGGTGCTATGAAAGTATAGTCCAGTGAGATCTGTGTGCATTAATTAATTTTAGAATGAACAGGTTTTAAAAAGTGTTTATGGAACTATAGCATTCTCAGTTATTTTACAGATTCTGCAAAATTAGTTTTCATTCTTCTAATGAAATGCATTGTGTCACGACAGCTAAGTCATTTAATTCTTAACTGGGTGAAGGTGTTGAAGAGAAATCTACAAAATTAACTACAGAAATAATAAATACAATATAGGCCATTATTATTTTCCCACGTAGACAAAAGTTACTTTTATGTCCAGAGAGTAGTGACATTTTGGATTATGACTGTTATTTCATCAGCAATTGCTGTTCTAAATGAAATAGCTAAATGGGCTTTGGGCGTTCACAACCTGTATATTACAATGCCTTCGTCTACTACCTTGGCACCATGCATCCCAGGACCCAGTGATTTTTGCGGACTCCAAAGAGAAATTCATTCTTCATCTCTCAGGATTGCAATGAAAATACTCTTATGGTTATGATTGTCTCTCTTGGTCTGTTTCACAGCCTTCATACTGAAGTTGTAAATTTCAAAGACACTTTTTTACCTCCCAAAATATGATCTGTAAATACCAATTTTTTACAGTAAACAGTAATTCTATGAAATACAGTCCTATGAAAACATCTTTGATGTTTTATATTATTGGTGATTCTTATTAAAATTACTGTAATAGTTTTTTTCCCCCCTCATTTCCTACAGATGCATATACAACCTCAGAGGTCACTTATATTTGGACATACAATGCATCTGATTCAGTACAAGTTGCTCCTGATGGCTCCAGGTTAAATCAATATGATCTGCTGGGCCAATCAATTGGGAAGGAGACAATTAAATCTAGTACAGGTAAGTAAAATGAGTCTAAAGAAAAGCTAGTTCCTAAGAATATTAAATGGGTTAAAGTCATTGGAAGTGTGTCAGTTAGCTTAAAACCTTTTCCTCTTGATGTCTAAGAGCTAGCAGTACAGATTGTGCTTGGGAACTTTTTACAAATTCAGAATCTCAGGCCGACCCCTTACTAAGTCAAGATCTGCATTTTAACAAGATTTCAAGGAGATTCCAAGGTGTGCATTCAAGTTTCAAAAAACACCGGTCTAAAGTATGCAACCAACTCAAAAAAATGTGTGTTTCCAGCGAAGCCAATTTTACTTTGAAACAGTGTTGCAATTTCCCTCACCTTCTAATTCTTTCTCCCCTATTTTGGATAAGTCACGACTATTCAACTCTTAATTTATGGATAATTACTCCTGGCCTGTTTGGGAAAGCTAGTCCTTTCCCATGGGCACACTCATGTAAGGAGAAGCAGCCATATGAATGAACTAATGACCTCACATCTGCCAGATGTAAACCCAGAGAGCAGAAAGGAAAGTAGCTAGGAGGCTCAGATAGAACTGACTGCAGTGAATTAGAACAGACATACAGCACTGAGACGTTCAGAATTGGTGACAGGATCAAAAGTGTAAAATCTCGGCCAGAAGATCAGTCTTGGAGATGTGGGCAGAAATCAGCACTTTAAAGTGTGGGAGAGGAGTGGACTGAAAACAATCAAAATCGAGGCTTGAGGTTGGTACCAGAAGGTCTGAGGGACCCGAGCAAGTAAAATAATCTACCATCAGAGAGCAGAGAGCATTCATGAATCCTCTACGCCCTTGGCCAGTAAGCATGACCTAGAGAGAAAAACGAATGCCATACCGTGCACACACACAGTTCAAGCTTCTTGGTCATATTAAATTTTTCTTTTAAATATTCTTGCTACACTAAGGGGGGCATTTAAATGTTATATACTTTCCGTGTCACATATAGGATAAACTCTTTCCTTTTTAAAATCAGGGACTGTTCTTTGTCTAATCCCTTCCACTTCCAAAACGTTCCAACTATTGACTGCTGCAGTTTCCTAAGCTTCTTAAATTTTTCTTCTAGGTGAATATACTGTAATGACAGCTCATTTCCACTTGAAAAGAAAAATTGGGTATTTTGTGATTCAGACATATCTGCCTTGCATCATGACTGTCATTCTCTCCCAAGTGTCATTCTGGCTTAACAGAGAATCTGTGCCTGCAAGAACTGTGTTTGGTGAGTGAGTAACTACGCCCTTTGCTGTACAGGACGTTTTGTTTCATTGCGCACTTTCAAACGCGTTATCTTTCTTGATCCTCACCCCAGTAGTTTGTGGTGTGTGGGGCCGGGAGTATTGGGTTCACCTTGTAGGTGAGGAAACTGAGGCTCAGGGAGGTAAAATACAGAGTCAGTGTCACACTCTGAATAAGGGATAAAAACAATACTTAGATACTCTGAAATGCATTGTCTTCTTTCTGTTAAATCATTTTGCTTGCCAATATTTGTTTCCATGTTAGTGAAAGAAGAATATTTTTAGTATTCTCATATTTTTTTTACTGTAGAGTATAATAGTACCACATTTCTAGCCTTTCTATGTTTTTTATTTTATTTTTTGTTTGGTTTTTAGATGAACAAAGATCTTAGTACTTTAAGTTAAAGAAAGAAAGAGAGGAAGGGAAAGAGAGATAAAAAGAGACTCCTCATTTGCTAACAGTAGTGTGTTTAATAACAAAGTTAATTTTCTTGATTTAGACCATGCAGGGAAATTTGGTTACTGCTTTTTGGATAATGAACTAGGCTGAGCACATTTTTGACAAAGTAGATTACCTTCATGTATTTCATCCACTCATTGATTTAGGAAAGTTTTATTGAAAATCTACTCTGTTGGTTACTATATCAGGCCCTAAATCTGCAAAAACATATAAAATATAGTTCCTGCATTCAACTAGCTCTGTATGATGGAAGGTACCAGAAGAAGCAGGAAAGATAGTGTCGCCACAAAATGAAGGCATTATAAAAGAGGCATGTACAAGTCGTTAAAAAAGACAACAGCATGGATCCTCATGCAGAGAACTGATTGAAAAACTGAGCTAACATTTGACTTAAGTCTTGAAGGATGAGTAGTAGTGTCCCAGGCAGATGAGATGAAACAAGAATCCAAGCCAAATGGGATTAATTTTGCAATGATATGAAGGGATGAAAAAACATAATGTATTCAGTGACAGTGAGCTGTTTCAGTGTCAGTGGGTGTACATACAATCGAAGTTTAGTTTGAGGCCTAAATGAGATGGGCCTTGTAGGCCATGTTAACACAACATATAGACCATAGTGTTTTGAGGCCATAGACATGTGTGAAGCTCTGAGAACAGTGCCTGGCATTTAATATGCACTATATAACTGTTAGCTATTCTTATTAACAGTGGAGAAAAAAATCAGTTTGATTCTCAATGAATAATTCAGAAAGAAATTTAGAAAATTATTCCATTATAATAACATCCAAAAGAATAAAATACCTAGGCACAAATTTAACCTAGTATGTGAAAGACTTGTCCACTGAGAATCACAAAGCATTGCAGAAAGAAACTATGACCTAATTAAAATGAAAAGACATCTCATATTTATGAATTGGAAGACAGTGCTGTTAAGATGAGAATAATCCCCTGAGCAATCTATAGATTCAATTCAATACCTGTCAAAAGTCCAGTGACTTTTTTTTTTCAGAAATGACAAAGTTGATCCTCAAATTCACATAAAATTGCAAGGGGCTCCAAATGGCTGAAACCATATTTTTTTTAAAAAGTTGCTGGACTCACGTTTCCTAGCTTCAAAATCTAGTACAAAGCTACGTTAATCAAAATAGTGTGACAGTGCCACAGGGATAGACATATAGACCAATGGAATAGAACTGAGAGACCATAAGCAAACACAAACAACTATGGCCAGTGGATTTTCACAAGAGTGCTAAGACTATTCTGCTGGGAGATATTAGTCTCTTCACCAGATGGTGCTGGGACAGCTGGATGACCACCACCACATGCAAAGGAATGACGTTGGACCCCTACCTCACTCCAGATTAAACAATTAACTAAACAGATACACAAATTTAGTCTAAAATCTAAAACTATAAAACTATTAGAAGAAAACATAGGATAAATATTTATGGTTTCATATCTAGCAGTGGATTCTTAGATTTAACATCAAGAGCATGAGTAACAAAGAAAAAAATAGATAAATTGAATTTCATTAAAGTTAAAAACTTTTGTGTCTCAAAGTACATCATCAAGAATGTGAAAAGACGACTTACACGTGGGAGAAAATATTTGATAATCACTTATCTGATAACAGTTTAATATCCTGAATAATGAATGAACTCTTACAACTAAAAAACAAAAAGACCAAAAAAAAACTGATTTAAAAATGGGTAAAGAACTTGAATGGACTTTTTGTTTTTTCTAAAGAAATATACAAATGTCAAACAAGCACAAGAAATGATGTGCATCATTGGACATTAAGGAAATGCGAATCAAAACCACATTAAAATCCATTTCACACACATTAGGATGGCTATGATAATAAAACAAACAAAGCAAAACAAAAGGACATGAGTGTTGGTGAGGTTGTGGAGAAGTAGAAACCCTCCTATACTGCTGGTAGGAGTGCAGTTCAGCTATTCCACAAAAAGTTATATACAGAATTACAATGTGGTCTACCAATTCGTCCAGGCATTACCTAAGATTAATAAAAATGTAAGTTCACAGGGAAGGTTGTACACAGGGGTTTATAGTAGCATCATTCCTAATAGTCAAAAGAATGGAAACAACCCAAACTCCCTTCTGTAGATGAATGGATAACCAAAATATGGTATATACTTACAGTACAGCATCATTCATCCACAGGAAGGATTAAGTACTGGTAACATGGTACAACAGGGATGAATCTTGAAAACATCATGCTAAGTGAAAGAAGGCAGATGCAAAGGTCACATATTTTATGATTTCTTTCATATGTGTTATCTAGAATAGACAAATCCATAAAGGCAATAAGCAGTTTAGTGATTGCCAAGGGGTGGAGGCAGAGGAAACTGGGGAGTGACTATGTAAGAACAGGGTGTTCTTCTAAAGTGATGAAAACGTCTTGAAACTAGGGAGAGGTGATTGCAGAACTTTGTGAATGAGTAAATGCCACTGAATTGCACATTTTAAAATGATTAAATGTATATTATGTGAATTTCATCTCCTTTATAGTAACTTTTAAAAGTCAAGAGTTGAAAAAATAATAGCATTGAATGAGCACATCGAGGATTTCCCAGGATTCAGGAATCTTCTCAGATGTCTCTTTCAAAATTTGCAAAGAATTAAATCAAAGACAAAAAAAATTTGATGTGACCAAAAATAAGAGAAAATTTCCATTCAAATGGCTTGAAAAATAGTTACACATTTTTCAGAGCACAAATAATGCAGAAAACAAAGGTTTTAGGGAAAATTACATCATAATTAAAAACAGAAAGGAAATGATTAGGCCAGAATGGATCTTCCAGAAAGGTCTAAATTTATATATAAATATAGAGCAAATCAGATAAATTAAATAATGCAGTATTTGTTCAACAAATGTAAGGAAAATAAAATACTGCATTGTGGCAAATAAAAATAGAGATTCGTAGCATAAATCGCATGGATGCATATGTTAAAAGAAGCCAATAGAAAACTACCTCAGTATAGAGGAGAGAGAAATAGATGAATATTTAACTTTAAATCTACAGAATGTCTTAGTATCAAGGTTACTAGTTTGAACTATAACAAATGTACACGTTTTTAAAGATTGATTACAAAAATAACATCTATAAGTTAAAAATTCAGACTATATTCGAACCTGTACATTTTATGCACATGATTTGTAATACAGGTTTAAGGATCCAGAAGTCATAATTTCATGCATATGAGCTGTTAGGTGGTAAAAGCATTTTACTATTATCTCTACAAGTTATTCTGTGTCAGACTTGTAGTGAACGTAATTCCTTGTGAGTGTGTATGTATATCCTTGTGCAAGTAAAAGATAAAAATCCTATGTCCTGTCTGGAGTAAGACTTGAAACCTGCCCAGCCTCCTTCTTCTCACTCCATCCTTCACTGTTTTCTGCCTCCTTCTGAGTTTGGACTTCATCTAACTGATATATAGCAGTTACCAAAATAGTGTCTACCCTCTCCAAGATTTTCTCCCTGAATCCACCACAAGGAGATGGTCTATAAACTGATTAGAGATTATTAAATCATCTGCCCTCCTTCTGCTTCTGAGGCTTTCTGTGGTGGGTAACCTCCCCCACAAGTAAAACAAAACAAAAAAACTATTACAGTTATGAAATTAATACGCCCTGGAAGACAGATGTCAAATTTCCCAACCTTTGAGATCTGGCTTCATGCCGTGAATAGAATAAGAAAACAGAGCAAACAAGACATTGGCAGAGGAGTTGAAATTAGAATGTGCACCCCTTTGATATTAGAGACTTTGCTGCATTTATGAAACACATACTATTGGTGATTGGAAAACTGGCGATTGGAAAAATAAGAACATTCCACATTAACTTTTGACAAAACAGTCATCTACTGGGCAGAAGGTTCCTTCATAAGGAGGTTATTGTAGTTAGTAAAGAGATAATCATGATCTGATATAATGAATATATATATATTTTTTCCTTTAAAGCAGCTAACACTTTTGAGTGCTTAGCTACATATTTGAAAGAATAATGCACCAGGACAAAGACAGCGTGTATCAAGTCCTGATTTTACTTCTGCATTAAGTGCGAGTGTAATCTCTCTAAATTCTAGATTTTTTTATCTGCTGTAATTTGATATAAAACTTATGCTATCTACTTCATAGGGATTCCTAAAACAATATGTGTGCAGGTTTTCTTAAATCCTAAAGTAAATGTATGCTTTTATTGTTTTATATATTCAACAGATAGCAAGTTTAGGTATTTTCTGATAACCAAGGATACTGTAGAATGTTCCACGAATTCAAGTGGTCTATGGATCAAGGCATGCCAAGGTAGGAAAGGGCATTCCATAAGAACGGGGCGAAAAATCAAAGCTAAGAGAAAGTGGAGCTCATAGAAAACAGAGGACAGAATGGTGGTTGCCAGGGGCTGGGGTAGGAGAAATAGGGAGCGGCTGGTAAAAGCTATAAACTCTCAGTTAATAGACAGATAAGGTCTGATGATCTAATAACATGGTGACGATAGTT